TCAGATGAACAGAGGTTTTAGGCAACAGGGGACATTATACACGGTGTTAATTGTTTAAAAATATAAGCGTGTCCAATAAACAAAATTATGGAATAAAAACCTTTTATTTTGTTATTTTTCAAAATCACGTAATTAAATATTCCTTCAGTAAAAACATAATTTATAATAAATTTAAAACCAATTTATTATAAAAATAAAATAAAAATACTAAGGAAATTAAATACTACAAAATTGGCAATATCCCTATTCATTTTTTAGAAGTTTATGTATTTTTCGAATTTCGAACAGTAAATGCCCATTATGCACGTTACCTAGAAGTGCATGACATTTTTTTAATTTAAAAGTGAGCAATATTAAGTTTTACACACCAAAATTAACCCATTACTTCAGAAAAAGACGAAATGAAGTTAACAACACCATAACCCAACTCCCCTTAAATTCAACAATCCCACATAATTTATAGATTTAGCTCTACTTTTTACATGAACAACCGGTTCGTGTTAAACAAACAAGGTTGTAAAAACGGAAAGAGACAATAAGAAGAAAACAAAAGACATAATTATCTCTCGGTGTGTACAATTCTACAGAGACATTTTTTTATTCAGATTTAAACTGGTTTCTCCTTTGGAAAAGATTCCCCCGGGTCAGACTAAAGGCGTACAGAAACCCCAATGATTATTCTAATTATATTCATCAGAGGGTTGATTGTCTTGTATAACAACCTATTGTTTCGGTCGAACTCTAATAATACGTCCCTCATGAAAATGTGTCCACAATTAAATATAACGTCTATAAATCTGTTTTGTCGCCTTTTACAATCATAAGTAAAACGAATTCATAAACATCGACTAAACCCGACGTCTTTCTATAGTACGAATTCACCATTTCTTTGGTTGACCAATATTAAAGTAGATACACACTCCAAATCAAGTATAACAAGAAATACGACAGCTTCATGAAAAAATCAACTGGTCATGATTTGATAACTGTTGAAGTTCTTCAAGGTGTCAAAAAAGCCGTCTTCTTTCTGACATCTTTACTTAACTTAATATTGTGAACTTAAGAATGGCACAATTACACAGAAGGCAAACACTATGAGAGAGTAGAAATATTTTGATTGAATATATAAAAAAATATATATATTTTGCATTGTATAAATTCAATTTTCCACATTCAAAATGTAATTGTTATATGTAAACAATGTTTGTAAATCCCAGGCCCTGAAGATGACCTCAATAAAGATCGAAACGTTGGCACGATAAAGAAAATTTTTTCTGAAACCTACATCACACCAGACCGCATCTCACGATTTCTAAATAAAAATTGTGAACTTAATTCAATGGAAACTTTCTTACATTAAAATTATCCCAAAGCCTCATGCAAATTTAAGCTCTCCATCATCTCATCGTTCTTATTCCATATTAGTTGTTACTCGTTCCCTCTAAATTGTTCAAAATTTAGTCAAAATTAATTTACAAAAGATTTTCTCTGTTGCTCCTTCGAACAACATCTTACCAGACCATCAATTTGGTTACCCATCAACTTCACAGAGTTACAGATTTCATATATTTCATGTCTGATCAGAAACTGTACGCTACTTGAGTGTTTGTAGTCTCAGGCCTTCGACACAGAATTATTATACGAATTAAAATTATTTTTATCCCAGGCCTGTTATCTGATTAAACAATCAAACTTTAAGGAGAGATTTTTAGTTGAGATAAAAAAGTCAAGGCACGAGCGGGATTCGAACCCACGATCTTCGGCTAGATACGCCGCTGCTGTACCACTTGAGCTATCGCGACCTCGATCCTCTCGGACACTAACTTCCCATCTCAACCTCACGTTTTGAATTTTCCCTCATTTTTGCCATTTTTCAAATGGAAGATGAAAAATAATTGATATGTGGAATGTTATGTGATGATATAGGTATGTTATATGTATTGAATTTGATTGATGATATTGGCGTAGCTGCGACTGAGTTTACATCTATCTGTTCTGTAATTGATGCTGTGTTTATCTCTGTTGATATAAACCATTTCTAAGAAATTACGTTTATGTTT